AACCCTTTTATAAGACTTCAAAACTGCCTTTTAAACTTAATTTAAAAATATAGAATAAACCTGACAGTCCAATATGGTGTCTGTTCTAAAAATTGGGCCAACTAATGAATAGAATATAATATTTTTACTTGGAAGGGACTTAGAGTGACCATCTAGTCCAATTGCCTGACCCAATTCATGACCAAAAGTTAAAGCTAATTATCCCAATGCCTCTTGAACACTGACAGGCCTGGGGCCTTGGGCAGCTCTCAGTAAGAAGGAAGCCTATTTCAATGTCTGACCACCCTCTTGGTGAAGAAATGCTTCCCAAAGTCCAGTTTGAACTCCTCTGGTGCAGCTTTGAGCCATTCCCACACATCCTGCCACTGGATCCCAGGGAGGAGAACTCAGCAATGTGCTCAGTTAATTCCTGAAAAGTCAAATCCAAAAGCAGGGTAGTGGTAGTGAAGAACTGTAACTGGTGTTTCTTATTAATGTGTGTCTGCCATACACAGACCGGCCAAACTACAGCTTCAGGAGGCAACTTGTACTGTACATGACTGCTTTCTCTTTTTTGCTCTGATTTAAATCCTGCCTGCATTATAACTTTTAAATGCTAACTTGTGCATTCTGAGTGGATACTAGTGTGTGGTGCTTATTTAACCTATTAGAAGTTCATGGTGCTCTAGGCAAAACATGTTTATTTCCTAGCAGGTATTCACAGAACAGAGCCCTCTAAAATATATCAGGGAATTATTAATCCCATCTGGCAGAAGTAAAAAGAGCACTGTCATTTTTATAGGAAAAATGTGAAAGTATCAAGTATTTTCTGTAATTTCTTGTGAAAGCCTTCAGTCTTTTCAAATTAAAACAAACAAGACCTCGAAAGGAGGAAAAAATAGTTGCCTTTCATTTGTGCCTCACAATGAGCACGGCCTGGATTTTGCTCTAAATTCCTCCTTATGTAACCTCAGTGGGGATGGATGTGGCCCAGCTCCCAGGACCCTGCTGGCTGCAGGCACGGACAGCAGTGCAGGGAACCCCACAGAGTGCTCCTTGTTCAGCCCATGCCCTGAGAGCAGCCCTAAACTGAGCATCCTAAAGCAGCACAGCCACGAGTGGGGACTGTTCCACTTGAGGGAGGAGTGGTTCAGTTCCCCTTTGGACACACAGCCACCACTGGACTCTTGATGTTCCCTTTTACAGGGTGAGTTTGGCTCTTGACATCACATACAATAAACAAAACAAGCTGTATTGCATAACCTGCTGAGCTCATTTACTTTGATAAACTACATGGATTTTACTTATAGGAATCCATAATATGTACTCATATCTTGCCAAAAAAAAGTGAAGCCTTTGTGATAGGAAGTTACATTTTGAAGCAATATCTGTTAGATATCATGGAAGAATGTTATGAAAATCTCTTCATTGGGATTGTAAATTGGCAAACCAACAATTTAGAAATTAATGGATTTGCACATATAGGATCACTGCAAATCAGCAATTAGTTTTATCTCTCCAAAAGAAATAAGAATTAAAGTCTTGAATTGCAAAACACTCTACTGAATGCCATGAAAACTGTAGGTTTAATTCCTGTTTTATTGTACAAAAGCATTGTGTTGCCTGCAAATATCACGAGTAAAACAGGAGCGAGGTCTGAACAGTTACTTTCTTGCTGATGCAATTCAGCTTTATCTGTTCTGTGTGAAGAAGCTTAAAAACAAACAGACCTTTGGAATATCTTATTTCTTCTGTGCCCAAAGCTGGAGAACAGCCCTATTACAAAGGCTTTCATGCAAAGTAAATATATTTAGTTTCTTGTAGAGCGCGCTCACCATCCACTTGCCTCGCCTGCCCTGCTCCAGGGACACTTTTGTAAACTGACTGTTGCTGTCTGTCCGTCCACCAGAGACACGGCAGGACCAGACCTACAGAGATGACAGTGATGCTGCAACCTTCAAGCAAACCCTCCCAGATCTCACCCCCGATGAGCCTTCGGAAGCACTCGGCTTCCCTCCCTTAGGGAAGGAGGAAGGGAGATGTGATCATGACGTGCCCAAAAGCCAGACGGAACCACCTGCAGTGGAAAATAAAGAACCCCAGTCCCAACCCGCTGAAGAGCCGGCAACACCAACGGCTGAGGAGGGGACAGCAGCTGATGCAGGTAGTGATGAATCTCCAGGGAAGTCCCCATCGAAAAAGAAAAAGAAGTTCCGCACTCCTTCCTTCCTGAAGAAGAGCAAAAAGAAGAGTGACTCCTAAAGGCCAACCCACTGCAGAAACACTGTCATATTTTAAAATCCATTAACCACTAGAATGTACCAGATCGTACTGAGTGTTTTGTCTTACTATGTAAATGAATGCCACAATTAATCCAACCAGCCCCTCAAGTTATGGCTTGATTGTTTAGGGTTATAACCAGAAACTCGTGTCCAAAAAGGTGCTAATCCTGTGTGTTCAGCAGCTGCCACAGATCTGAGCCCTAGTTTGTAATCAAATGTAAATGACTTCCATGTGGAAGGCATTGATTCACTATTTTTAATTTAAAGCCTGCACTGCTTTGCAAAAGAATATAAAAAACTCACAATTAAAAATAAAACACCCATTGCTTACCACAAGAAGTGTTCTTTCCAATATTCTGTTCCAAGTCACAGGTAAATTTCTTAAATTTTGACTTTTAGAGAGGATACTTTTGCAGTGGTGTTCTCAAGGGGGGTGAATTCTTGAACTGACATGTAAACTTCTGCAAGCTTGTGAATACAGGTTGTGGTTTGGCCAAGCTTTGAGGCTCTCCATTGCTTCCTCTCTTTCTCCTTTCTCACTGTTGTTACAAAATGAAGGTGTTTTTCACTTTGTTTTATTTTGTAACTGGCTGGGGAAATCAGTCTTTGTCTAGGACTGAAATGTCCGTGGTGTGTTCTGCTCATGTTGTGTGTTCAAAGAGTCCGATCTTGGCCTGGTTTTTTTTCTTTCTAGTGAATTACAGTTTAAGGGAAATCTGTCTATGCTCTTTCCTCAGTGAGTCATGTGGTGATTTGGCTGTTAGAAAAGGTTAAAAAGTAACTGAAGTGAAAGCTGGTGGTGTGGAGCATGGGCAGGTGTGTTTTGGGCCTTAGCACAGTTTTTTCATTCTTTTAAAAATCCCTTCGTTGCACATGCAGTCTTGCTGTGCATGAACCCCATGTGCAGCCTTTTGTGTTTGTTCCTTCCCACTGACAAAAATGTAAATGCATTACACTGAGTATTTCACCTTGTTTTATAGTAATTATATTTTCACTTACAAAAGCTGGCATTTCTTTAAATCTTTTTGTTGTTGTTGCCAGCGGTCAAGTGCAGAAATCCTGTGTACCCTTAAGGTGTATTTTCACCGTTTGCTATAAATGTTTGTTTAATGTGCAGCATGGCAAATCACTCTCGCCACTGAGTTCACTATTTCCCACTTATTGCCATGCTTGTGTCTCTCACTAATTAGAAAAGTAGTTTAAGATCAGGCAAGTCAAGCTTGTGGAATTCTCTGGAAAGCGGGTGCCGTTCCCCGGCCCAGGGCCGGCGGGGCAGTGACCATTCTGGTTTCTAGAATTTGCATTTTGGGTTTAACAGCAGCAAACCCCAACACCCCGCGGGGGTGAGGGCAACACACTGACTCACAGTAAGTGTCTGTAACACAACAGAACATGGATGTAACCTTTTAGGACAATATTAAATGTTGCAATTGGTAACCTAGCAGAGAACTAATGCCTTACATTGATGCAGCAGAAAGCGCGGAGGGCCGGCTGCGTGGAGCGGCTCTGGGCGGGCAGAGCAGGGCCTGTGCCGGCGGGGAGGTGCCGATCCTCGGGCTGGTTTTGAGCGGCCGAGGGGAACAGCTGGAAGTGGAATTGAGCTGTCAGTGTTCAGGTGAGAACTGAGGGGTCGAGGTGGCCGCTGGGGCCGTGGGAAAGGTGACAGGGCCGGTGTGGGCCAGAGCAGGCGGGCACTGGGCCGGAGCCCCTGGACAGCAGCACTCAGGCAGGACTGCATGGCACGAATGGCTTTCAGCTTCTGCTCTAACATTGTATGTCCTTGTACACTAGGAAGCAAACAACACTTATTTTGCTAAATTGTGTTTTATTGCAGGGTCGTAACTAAATGACTAATTGCTGTATGTTTCAGTTCTTTACTGAAGTCCCTCCATTTATCTTGACCACATATGCAATGACTCTTAATTTCTAATTTTTGTAGTCTGTTCTTTTAGTTCTTTGTATTACAATATGAAATGTAGTCATGTATGGTATGGTTACACACTTTGGGGCAGAATAAAGTCCTGTATTTTTCTTTCTTTCTTGTATCATTAAGTTCTACTCACAAATAAAACTCTTGAAAAAAACCATCATGCTCTGCTTTGTACTTGTACACTTTTATTCTGTAGCCTCATTTGCTTAGATTTCTTTTAATGATTAAGGTGTTGATTAGTGATGGCGTTCCTTCCCAGAAAATACTCCAGTTGGCTGTGGCAGGGCTCCCTTCCCAGAGATTCCCAGCTCAGCAGTGGGCAGAGCCTGGTGCTGGCTCCTTCCCCCACCCATGAGCTGGGTCAGCACGGCACTGCCATCCATGGCTGGCTCCCTCAAGGAGGCCTTTGGCACCTTGGGTCAATTCCTGGCCCCTTTGTGCCTCAGCCCGACAGGGATGTTCAGTTCAGAGGGGGTAAAAACTGTAATGAACTGACCACAGGAGAGTTCAATGTAACACTTTATTGTAATGCAAAAAGAACAGGGCTTGGTCATCAAAAACATCCCACAGTATTAGAAATATAAAACATGTCTCCAAATTCAATTGTATATCAAAAACAGTCCGTGTACCAAAGTCCCAGTGGGGTGCAGGCAGCCTGTAGTGTGCTTCTGCTTTGGTTTGACCATCACGTTTGCAGGTGTGGATGCAGCATTTGCAGAGCTCTGGTACCACTTGTACAAAACCCCAGCAGAATGGGCCTGAGGGGTTGTTCTGTGCCAGCCCAGCCCCTGCAGAGCCCTGTGTGCAACAGCACCTGGGGAGTGGGGAGGGCTCCAGGCCTGCTGCTGTTGTGCTGGCTCTGCTGCTCTTAATGCCTTTCTCAGCTCTTGGTCAGGGTGTGTGTGTCTGGTTTTGTTTGTTTGGTGTTTCTCTGTTTGCAAAGCTAACCCAGCTGGCTGGGAGGCCACCTTAAACATAACTGCTGTGTGTTGTTGCTGCAAATGGTCATCATGTATCTCCTTCCAGAAGATCAAAATCTTCCTGTTTGCTCAGCAGAGCCAGGTGCCAAGAGTCAGGTCTTGCAGAGGTCCTTGGAAGCTGGTGATGGTTTTGTGGTTCCTTCCTACTCCTCCTTTGTCTGCTGTTTTATAGACCTGAGCAGAGCCAAGGGGACAAGGAAAAAAGCTCCACAGAGAGTGAAGCAAATCTCTGCCCCAGCCAGCCAGTAAACTGCAAAAGAAAGGGAATTAATCTTGTTAGTGTGCTTGTCCTTGCAGATGTGTGAATGCCCTCAAAGCTTTGTGCTCACACAGTGCCTGCCCAGCTGAATAGAACTACTGACCCCTGGGTGAGCCAGAGGGTGCCAGGAGCTCAGCACAAGGCTGCACTCAGCAAACAGGTTCTGGCTTGCTTGCTGTTAACATCAGCCCAAGTTCAAGCTCTGGGGCTGCTTCCCTTCCCCTGTCCCCTTACCCTGAAATGCCAAGGGGCTCTGACCCCATGCAGGGGGTCCCTGTGCCCCTTGTGCCCCAGCTGGGCTGGCAGGTGCCAAGAAGAAGAAGGAGCCCCAGGCCACACTCACCTGCAGCTGCCAGGATGGGTCCCAGGGCTCTGGCCAGGGCGCCCAGGCTCCTCAGGATGCCCATGACTCGTCCCTTCTGGCCGGCAGTGCCTGTGCAAGCAGAGAGCGACACTGTGGGTCTGGGCACTGCTGCAGCTCTGGGAGCTTTGTCCTTTGGGGCATTTCCCACCCGCATCTTCCCCTCCCATCACTTCTCACCCACTCCCCAGCCTGCCCTTGCCCTCCACCAAGGCCTCACAACTGCAGAAACACCAGGGCCCGGCTTGACTGGGACAATTTGCAGTGCACGTTCCCAAAACCCCCCAGCCTATCCAAAACAAAAGCTTCACATTGTACACGAGATTTTCTGAGAAGGCCCAGGTGTACAATAAACACAGAACTGTGGCTGCAATTTAAATAAGAGCAACATAAACATGACCTTAATGAGCAAACCCTTCTTTTCCACCTCAGCAAGCCCTGCAGTCCTGGCACCCAGCTGACTCAAAGCCGTGTTATCCACAGATGGCACCACAGCTACATCTGCTTTACCAGGTAACAGAGCAACCCTGCCAAAAGGCTTCAGAAGGTTCCTCAGAAGGTCTTTTCTAAGGCATCAGCAAGAAATTATTTCACTGCTGGCAGAGATGGCTCCTTTTCAGAGAGCCCAGACTGTTCCCTCCTCAGTGCTGTTTGTGGGCTCTGCCCACTTCTTCATCACCACCAGCAATGAGGTTGCTGCAGTTTCCCCATCACACTGGACTGAGCTGTGTTACACAGCACAAAATTCCAGTGTGATATTGATGGTCACTGAGCAGATCAGTGCTGTTAGTGCTGGAATTATCAGTTATGAGCCATGGGCTGGTTCCCTATGCTCCTCTGCAGAGGGATCCACAACTGTTCCTGTTGATGCTTAACTCAAGGTCAGTTCTGTGCAATTTGAGCCAAGTCAATACAAAGGTCAGCAGGAAGGACACTCACCATAGCCTGACACCACTGCTGACAAACACGGGATAACAATGGCTGCAGCTGGAAAAATCCACAGAAGAGACTGTCAGCGAACAGCAGAGCTCAGAACAGACAAGAACAGTGACAAACACGTGGCCCAAACTCGTTACTGCTGCAGAGAAATATGCTGAGCTCTGGGCACTCTACCCCCACTGAGTCACCAGGTTTAATCCAGGTCAGTGATGGGAACACCCCCTCCGAGGCAACCTGCAGGAAGAGCCCAGAGCTGGGAGTGCTCCAAGCAGATGTTTCACATTAGCATCTCTCATTCTGTGAGCCCTGGGACAGGGATGGACAGGGCAGGTCAGCCAGCTGGCAGCTTCCCAAATCACTGTGCTCTTATCAGGTGGAGCAGGGAACTGCTCTGTTCCAAACAATGAGGTGGCTGTACGGAGTGACACTGTCCCTGTGCAGGCAGGGCAGTGGACTCAGGGAGGAGAGGCAGCTACAGCTTCTCTTGGGAAAGTCACATCCAAGAGGAAAAGATTACAAAATTTTTTGGAAACAAAAGCCAAGAGTTGTTCAGCAATCACTGCCCTCTTACTGAAACAGGGGCCTTTTCTGCCAAGAAAGAAGTGCCTCAAACATATAAAGCAGGGGAAGGGAAGGGGAAGAGCAGGAATGGTCAAGGTTGATTTCACTGCAGGTGCCTCAATGTAAATACCCCTGGGGGGGTTTCTCTTCTCCTTTTCCTGCCTCTTCCTGCCTCTCCTGGCCAGAAGGAGGAAAAGAAGGAGAAGAGAAACTCCCCCCTGCCAAGGGGCATTTCTAGCTGGCTTAACTGGGAAGAGATGGAGTCTGCACAGGGAAGACTCAAATGTGCTTAAACATAATGAACTCTCACTCCTCACCTATCAGACACACAGCTGGCCCCAGACAAATAATAGGCTCAATAGGCACATTTTGTGGTTTAGAGTTTACTCCTAAATCAAGCTGCACCATGCAAAAGAGAAGTCCACTTTGGCAGCAGTGCTTAACAATAGTTAGCAGCATTGGTAATACCTGAAATCTCTTTTTAGACATCCAGTGGATGGATCTAACTTCATTCATGACTGTTTCCCTGAACAACAGCTTGGCAGAACAGAATTTATACAAACACTAAAAACATCTCTCTGAACACCCTCAGAGTGTGCAGGTCTCCAGCCTCAGCAATAATGCAGCACCACTCGGGTACAAAGGTTCCCTGCCTTGCTTTTTTTCCTGAGCTGAGCTATTTAGTGCAACTTTGCTTCTAGGTCTGCTAAAAGGGGGTAAAAAGAGCTCCACAGTGGGACAGGGCAACGGGAGCACTGGGGCTGCTTCCAAATACCACCATGCCATGCCAACTTCCTGTGATACAAACAGCATCAGAAAATACCCCAGACACCATTTTGTCCATATTTCACAAACCCAAGAGTCAACTTTCTTTTGTAGTTTGAAATTAGAAGTGCATCTTTAACAGTGTGAATAAATACATGAAGGAAAATCCTTTGTGCTTAGCTTGCAGTGCCGTTTGAACAGCTCACCGAAGGAGTACAGCAGCAGTCCAGCGCTCAGCACGGTCACATTTGCAGCCCATCCAATTAACAAGAACGCGGGAATGAGCAGCACAATCGCCTGCAGGAGGAATGAGTCACACGGTTACACTGAGCCCCTCGTTAGAGCCCAGCCCGAGGTGTCCTGCCAGCTCCCTTGGGATGGGACAGCACACGAGTCACACGCAGAAGGCTCTTTCTTCCCAAGCAGACACTTCAAAGGCACCTGGATGGCCACACACCAGCACAATGAACTTTTCTGCTCCCTCTCACTGTCACATGATTGCACACCGCATGCAAGTTCTCTCTCTACACATCTGCCCTTTTGGGGGGATTTTTCCTCTTGTTCTGTGTTAACCTGGCTTTAACTCTGCATCTCCTGAGCTGGCATAAGAGAAGAAAAAGCTTGTGTGCAGCAGGACTACAGCTCCTCTGCTTTTTCACAGCGTTATTGGCTGATTTTACCTTTAGCTTTCAGGTTTCTGTAGCCAAGAAGAAAAAAGGGGGAAGAGGGTGCATCTAAAATTCAAACCCCCAAAATAAAAAGCATTCTTCATCTCCTCCAAGAGCTGGACTTCCATTTCCCTGTGATGTCTCCCTTGCCTACAGAGCTCCTGCAGAAAAGACAGATCAGATGTGCTTTGTGTGTGATAAAGGAGGGTATTCACTGCCACTGAGGGCCTCATTTTGAAGATTCAGTGATAAATGAGCTGCTGTAAGCACTGTGCTAACAGAGGCCACTTTTGCCATATGGTGCAGATTCACTAAGTGCCAGAATGGCTTCAGCAAAAGGGGGAATTCCCACAAAGCCAAGGGCATCCCTGGAGAAGAGTGCCCCAGGGCTGGGGGTGTTCCTGAGGAGCCACCAGCCCAGCAAATGAGTGTCTGAGGTGACTGCAGTCCTGGGGCAGGCCTGAGGAAGGAGTGTAAAAATGAGAGGTGCAAAGGGCAGTGCAGTGCCAGCAAACACAGCAGGCTGACAGGGGGAGGCTGATGTGGAGGATGAAGCAGCACAGCTGATGTTCATCCACAGGGAAACGTGACACCAGCAGCCTGACATCAATGTTGGCCTGCCAGGGACCAGGGTGGAGATTGTTCCACCAGCAGAAATCACTTTAAGAGAAGCTGAGTCAATTCACCGGAATGCAGTGGTTTGGAAATCTACCCTGCCACCACTGATATCACACAGGCCTCAAAATAATGTAAAATACATTAATCAAGGCTCTAGCAGTCCAAGCAAACCTATTGCCAAGGAGCCAAGGCAGTGCTTTGTTTGGTTCCACACACAAATGTAAAGGACACATCTGCTGTCCCCAGAGCTGTCTGAACTGCAGGGAGCTGCTCCCTGCCACCCCAGCACAGCAGCTGCAGTGGCTCTGTGAGGAAAGAGCCAAGTAAAACAAAGGAAGGTACACTTCTGTCAGTGAAACCTCAGCCTGAACACTGATACATGCTTTTGTTACGTGTAATACTGATGAACACAAACCAAAGATTGGAAAAAGAATCTATTTCTCCCTGCCCAGCAGTGAAATATACTCTAGGGAAAGCCTGTCAAGCACAAAGATAGCCAGGTTGAAAATAATTTCCCGGAAAGAAATCAGAGATCAGCCCTGAAGCAGCTTTAGTAGTTTCTGCACTGCAAGAGAAATCACTGAAATAGAGCATACTCTTCACAGTATTCTACCTAACCTGCACAGATGGACAATCTGTTCTCATTCCTTACTGCAATTAAATATGAAGAATGCAAAGTTTCAATAGTACTGTTGCTCATATCATAAAAAAGAGCTCTAATGTTCCAAAGTTTATTTAGACAGACAAGTGCCCAACAACCAGCTCTGAGAAGTCATTTAGCTGGACAGATGAGACAGAAATTTCTTTTGATTGGACAAATACAGTTATAACCTCCAACTACCCTTCACTGCACTTCAGACTGAAAATTAACATATCAGATTTGTGGGGAGGAAAGAAAAAGAAATATTGATTTTTTTTTTTTTTACCCTTTTTACAGCTCTGATTTCATTTCCTGGCTTGATTCGGCGAGCATAGCCTCCCTGGATCACAGCCATTGTTATTCCAATAAAGAAAAACATCTTGCCCTGCTGCATGCTGGAAGGGAGGCAAAAGCACAGAGTGAGGCACGAGCATTCCACCCTGATTCACCACTCCCGGGAAACCCCCCTGAGCAAGGGACACAAAAACCACAAAAAGCCCTCGGGGCTCTCTCAGCGCTGCCGGCAGCTGCCTCGGCAAGCAGAGAGCAGCGAGGGGAAGCTCCGAGCTTTTACTGTAAGGTGGGACAATGCTGGCAGGAGCTGCAGCCACCTCTGGGCTGCTGTGGGGTAGCTCAGGGTTTCTGGGCTGCCCACAAAGACTCAGCACACCAAGTGTGTGAATTATGCTGTGAACAGCTGTGCCACGTGCATGGAGATGTTGGTTTCCAAGGTGCAGCTCAGGAGGGTTTGATGGAGGCCAGTGTGGTGGTGATCTGCTGTCACACTGGGAAGTCTGAGACATCGCTCCCTCCTTCAATTTTCTTTAACTTTCCCTTTGCCCTCCCTCATTGACTGAATTATGTGGAATTCTGCAGCTCACTGAGGGCTGCCCTGAATGCACAGGACACAGCAGAGCTCAGAGCACTACAAAAACCTGTCCTTGACACACGGATTAGTTAAACCACAAACTGTAATGAAAGACAGACAGGGAAAGATGAGACAACCCTCTGAGAATTACTCAAAGGGAAGGACACGCACGGGAATCAAATTTCAAGTTCACATTCCTGGCTGGAATTTTTCCTATGAGCTGGCAGAAAAAGTATTTCAAGCTGAGCTGTTGGAGGATTCTGTTCTTTCTTCTCTGGAGGTTGACTACAGGAGATCAGGCTCTGTGACATGACTGCACACCATATGCCATGCAGAATTTGCTGATGAGCAAATATCAGCACACAGATATCTCCCCATTCTTTGCCTCTTTGAGCTTCAAGTTTTGTCCTGATACCCAAAAAATCTGAGCAAGAAAAGGTTTTACTACAGTCAATACAACTAGCACAGCTATACCTATTTCAGGAGCTTAAATTTAATCTTGGGTATTTATATTCCCTAATTTTTAGAAGCTGTAGATGGAGTACCTCATTCATGATAAAAATTGTGCCCATATTTCATCAATTCTTTTTACAAAGCCCAAATACCACCAAACACAGGGGTGGCTTTACTAATGTCAGAAAGCCTCTCTTGAAAATACATGAGGAGACCTTAAATTAAAAGATTTTGGAAAATATCCTAGTCAAATGTACACCATTTATTGCAATACCTGCTGAAGTGGAATCTCTGGTGAGTAAGAAAACTCAGTGTGTACTCCAAGCCAGAAAACAGAAAGAGGTACAGGAAGTAGGCCAGGCCCAAAATTTTGAGATTCTGAAGATCTGAAAAAACAAAAAAAACCAAACAAACACCAAGGGGGTGGGAGGTGGGGAGAAAAACATGGTGGTGTTTTCCAAGCAAAGCTTGACAATAAAACCGTAATATAAGAGCGGCATTTATCAACTGTACAGGGAAATGTTCTCACCTAGATGCTCATTTTAAATATCCATACAACACATGCCACAAAAGGAGTCCTACAGTGATGTAGAGAATCCTACATCTCCAAGTTGTGAATTGAGAAACAAAATTCTAGTCTGAAGTTCCTGGTTTGCAGCCTGAATAAGCAAACTCACATCTCCCTTGCTCATGCCTTGATCTATCTTTAAATCACTTCACTTACTGCAGCCAGTGGCTGAGGCAAATATCAAGTCAGAAATCTTCAAAACCTTCTTTTGGGAACAAAAGGACCAAGTTCCAGTGCAACTCCTGATTGCTTGTTCATAAGTTATTGAGGTGGGTTTTAAATGAGTAAACAGAGTCCTGCTTCTGGAATGGTCTGAGTGCAGTTTTCACTTAGAGGCCAGTGCCACACACAAAGGACAGTGTTACTGTAAAAAGCCACCTGACACTTACTCTGCTCTGAGGGGGAATCCTTGCCTCGGGTGACTGCAGAGAACTGAAACAGAGCCAAAGGACTGAGCAAGTCAACTGCTGCCTGAAATCCAGATGTCACAGAAGGGACCTGATCAAAGACACAAAGAGGTTTATTGAAAACCCTAATGCAATAACCACTGCTAGGAGCTGACAGGAAGCACCAAATGTGCCTCTACACCTACACAAATCATCTGAGGTGAAACAAAGCACCTGGCACTGGGATCTGAGTGGGCCCCAGGAACAACGCAGACATTCTGAACTCACAACTGGCGCCAGTGACTGAATTGAAAGGTGCAGCACTGACAGCACCGAAAACTGGAGACACAAATCCTTCCTTGGGTTCTTACAAAGCAGAACTGGCTCGTTCTCCACAGCCTTGAAGGTGGCTTCATTTGGTTCACCTTTTGCATCATCACTCATGTCCAAAGAACATTTACTAGGAAAATAATGGCTCATCTGCCTGCAAGCTCACTGGCAGCTGAGGATTTGCTCTTGTGCTACAAATCTGAGACCACTGTGTGCAGCACATCAAACACTGGTCTGTTTTGGTACTGGCTGCTATTTTAGCCAGCCAGTGACACCTCCTGGGGAAGAGAAAGAAAATATAATTTTTACAGAGATTCTTTGAAAATATTTTAGAGGAAGGAGATTCTGCCCAGCCACAATGGGTGGCTTTTTAAAGAGGAAGATTTATTTTGTAACACTTCTGGGCCTTGTACTGTGTACATCTCAACCTAATTATGTACCTAGTGGCACTCTCCCTGCTCCTTACCCACAGGCACTCATTCTTCCATCTAATGCTTATTCCTTCATCTATAAATAATTTACATTTTTATTCTTTTTTTTAATTCTAAAATACAGAAAATTAAAGAAAACATGAAAGGAAATAATGTCTGAATGATTAGAAATCAGACTAGAATGATCAATGATTAGAAATCAAATGAATAGAAATCCTACATTATTAGGAACACAATTTTTTTGAGTAGAACTTAGCCTGTCACTTTACACAACAGTCAAGAATCCTGAATAATCACATGGAGTATTTCATGCCTTCAAAGCCCTGCACAGGCTTTATTTGATGAGTTTTCTTCTCCTCCCAGATAGGGAGGGAGGGAGCTACTCTCTCTCTCTGAGGGCAGAGATTAAAGGTCAGATTATCAGAGGAATTTAATCTCAGTGCATGACCTGAGGACTCATTATGGGCTGGATTTAATGAAGCTGTAAACAAATCAACCTTCAATATGGTATTAAGGACCTCTCTTGTTTTGATAGTCAGAGCTTCTGAGTACCCAACACAGTCTGGAGCCCATGAGTCTCACAACAGCAACCAGTCCAATAGGCTGGGCTGGCCTGGGGCCACGAGGCTGCTGATTCACACAGAAAATATTGGGATATTTATTCTCCCTCCCACTGCATGTATTGCACACAGTACAGACACACCCAAGAAGTTTGCTCACCCTGCTGAGGAGTCTGAGAGGATTTCCTGAAGCTGGCCTGTGGCAATCCCCAGTTCCTGCATGTGTTGGTAGGATGGGGTTTGCACTCCAGCACAGAGAATCTGGGCACAAGCAACTCCCTGCAAGCATCTTTGCCAGTAACCAAAATACCCTGTAGCTTGTACCAGTTCTGAATTATTATCCATGTCAGACAGGATGCCAAGCAGCCTTGCACAAGGCTGATTTTAGTTTTGTCTAATTACAATACATTGTAATTGCACGTTTAAAACCTTAAATGCTTTTGTGAAATATATACACCTATTTGATTTTTTAATGTAGGTGTGTTTGTGTGTGCACACATAAATTTTTTTTCAATTTCTCCTATCTTTGCCATAGAAACAGCGGTCTAGAAATTATTTCATCTACTGATCCATAATGAAAGCATTGTCCTAAAACTGGCTAAAGAGTTTCACCATCCCCCAAAAAGTACACACTGCCAATTTCAGTCAGTGTCAGCAGCTGCATGAAGCTGAGTTTCTTCACAGGTTCAAACTCTGCAACATCTAACTTGTATTTAATTTCTGTGCTTATGATTCATTATCCCATAATTGCTCAATTCTACTTCATGATCATCCCCAAAGTCACCATGAATGGCAGGCATTTTTCAGAGGGTCTCTGCTCATTCTGTTTTCCTCTAATGCAGCAACAGGTGTGGAAGGCAGAGTCAGTCCACCTCAGGATTGCAGCCTGGGCCTGCCAAGCTGCAGCCTCACCTCCCAAAGCAGAGGTGTTCAGTGTGCACAGAGCACAGCTTTGTCTTTCCACAGGTCTGCTACTGATACTGCACAGCCCCACACACAGTCCAGCAAAAAAGAGTTGTAAGATTCTCCCTCTACCTCCCTGCTCGTGGCTAGCTTAGCTAAAAACTAACTCTTAAAGGGGACAGATTCCACTAGAGACCTTCCTATTCTTCCCTTCTCCCAGTCAGGTCACAGCAGGAGCTGTTTTGGCTACCATAAGGCCAGTATGACTCTCTTGACCTGATCAACTCATGGAACAGTTGACAGAAAGAGGAAGGAAGAGAGTAAAAATGCTGTTCTCTTTGTATGAAAACATATCCTTGTTTCCCATCCCCCTCCATTTTCCCTTCCTCCAAGTTAATTTCAACATGAATCAATATGAAACACTCTGTCCTGTGAAAAGCAGACTGATAGAGAAACAAAGGTATAATGAGAACACGGCAAACTTCAAAGAAACAGATGTCTGATCCCACTGGCACATCCTCCTACCATTTCTCATGATGATTTCCCCTCTTTTTACAGCTTTGTCCTTCCAACACGTTCCACTCCTATACCTGTGAGAGCACCTGCTGCAGCTCAGCCCAGCCAACTCCAGAAAGGCAGCCAACATACCTGCCTTTCCTCTGCCATCCACAGGCCAAGAAAACTACTCAGAAAGTGGGAGGAGTTACCAAAGAAGAGAGCAGAGCAGCCTAATAACTGAAATGACAAATATGCTGGAACCCATGGACAGCACACGAGCACAAGAAGCCCCAAACCTGTCCCCCCACCCTGTCATGGGCAGCCAAACTCTCTGTGCACTTTGTGAGACTGGGACCTGGCCCTGAGCAGCTTCCATTGCAGCACCCACTGCTGCACAGGGCCAGAGCCCCAAACAGCAGTGACAGAAAGCTCCTTTGCCTTCCTAAATTCAGTGCTGCTGGCTAATGCAGAGCAGCTGGTCAGAACTTTCAAGAGGATAACAAAAGGAGGAGGGATCTATTCAGTCATCACATGATCCCAAAGGCACTGCAGCCGTTTAATCACTCTACAGCAAAGGAGAAATTGTTTATAGAATACAGATTTGCTCTGCAGCACTTCCCTACATCACCACATTGCCACCTTCCTGGAGTGTGCAGCTCTAAGAGCAGGATTTTATCTGGAAGGTTTAGGAACAGCCAAATAGGAAAGAGGAACAGATGACACATGGAAGAGCTGTTAAAAGAAAATAACATAACTGTAGTGCTTGGGAACACAGTGTGAGCAGCAGATTTCCCATGGGACACAACCTGCTGGGAAACACTCAGGGAAGGTGCAAAGTTTTGCCCTGGTAGGATCATTGCAGATAAAAGTTTCCTGAACAATTCTCTGTGTCAAATGGGTTTGGCTATCCAGAGACCAAGCACCCTCCAAAAACTGAGTGCTGCCTAGAAACCAGGGATCACAGCAAAGATCCTATCAGTGAAAGCCTCAAATCAAGTGCAGATACCCAGGGCTGAATTCCACCTCTCTCACTCTGCAAAGGAGACTGTTCTAAGAGACTAATCACGTAGTGTCCAACCACACAATATTAAATTCTAATATTAACAGATGTGTGGCCCCACAAATCCAATCAGTCACTGAATTTTAGGACATGTAGGTATTTTCTATCTGTAGAAACAGAACAGCTCAGGAAAAAAGTCATTTGCTATTTAACTGTTCAAAATATTCAAGAAAATACAATATAATAGGTAAGAAAACTTCTAACATATACTGGATGAATGAAAGAAAATCCAGTCTCTGATGCATTTATTTTTATGATTTGCTGAAATTCTTCCCCAAGGAATCCTTGTGGTCATAGTTTAAATTTCACAGTCTCCCTCCTATGTTCACATTAGGTTTTGAGAAATTTAAACATTACACACCAAAACCAGCAATGAAGCAGTCATGTTAATTATAAAGATCTTGTATTAAACTGGGCTAGGAGATGGGACCAACCCTGGAAGTGTTCAAGGTCAAGCTGGATGAGGTTTTGATCAATCTGGTCTAATGGAAGGTATCCCTGCCAGTAGCAGGGGGGTTGGAAATAGATGATCTTTAACCACCTTCCAACCCAAAATATTCCATGATTCTATGATCATACAACTGCTTTGACACCAACATTAATAATAATCCCAATCCCAGGAATGAGATAAATTTCTGAGACACTGGCTAAGCCTGTTCTTTGCTGTTGCCAATATTTCAACCATTTTCAAATCCTGTTTTTACAGAAAAACCAGATCTTGAGACCGATGGTCCACTTACCCGTTTTTCCTTGGGAAGAGTCTCTGGAAGAAGGAGGAAGATGAAAATGAAATCAGCCACGGCAAACGTGAGCGCTGACAGCGCTGAGCGAAGGTAGAAAACTTCTCCTTTCTCTGTCTGCATGGCAAGGTAAGCACCCATCATGGGGCCCAGGGTGAAGCCCAGGGAGAAAGCAACACCAATCATGGCCTGCAGGGATAAAGTCAACACACAGAGAGAATTTTAGACACCAGTTTCTTCAGGTTGTGAAAGTATTTGGATTAACCAGGTACAGAACTCAGTCATCCTGAGGATGCAGGGAGCATGAAGCTTTAAAAGCCTGCTGTTTCCAAAGAACCAATTTTGTTTTCTGCCCAGTCAGGGAAGTGGCAGGAACAGGCAGTGGCCCATCACTGCTTGGGAATAGCTCCAGTCAGATGCTGTTTGTCTCCCAGAAAGCAGAATGAACATGCCTACTTTGCTTTGGAATAGAAAACAATACAAGCCATGTGGATGTGAGCCATGCTGCACTGACTTACTCTCAGGCCCTAAAAATAGGCCCTGACCCATTTTATTTACTAGTGCTGTAAGGCTACCTCTCTCCACAAATAAAAATGCATTTTGGCTCCCCAGGATTATGACAATTTGCTTGGAAGATTCATTAGCTATCATTGTGAAATCTAAAGCCTTCCCCTCCCAAGAAGCAGCTGTCCTCTGTAGTGGTTTACAACAATCTGTTAAGATAAGTCTGGGCCGGTAAGGTTTTTATAGGATAAAAGATATAACTGGTAATTCACAGGCCAAGTTCAGCCTGCAGGATGTTTCCATCTGGGCCACTGCCTTCTGGAAGTGGGTAGGGCAGCTGCTCATCCTTCTCAGTCAGCCAAATGTCACATCCTCCACCCACTGAGCTCAGATCCTGAAGCCAGTGCAGTGTGCAAGAAGTCAGGAGCACTCTGTGCTGTGCTGCTGTGCTTCCACAGCTTGGGAAGGTGAGGAGGAGGGGCTGCCTTGCAATTGGCTTCCAGCTGCCAAAATTGGGCCATAAGACCTTTTGATTTCTAAGCTATTATAATTAGAATTAAAGTTACCAGCAGGAGAAACAGTTCTAACTCTGAAACAAGATAATTTTCCCATCTCTAGAGCATCTGTGTTTCACTTGGTCATTGGCAGAAGTCCAAGAGGTCCCAGGAATTATGATCTGGCACCTTTCCAGAAGTGAGGTGGAATGTAAAGTCATGTTTGCACTTGATCAGTGAATACACACCTGATGAACACATACTGAGCACCCAAAATCAATTAAAAGCTGCCTATTAACACTAAACATGTGGCCCACAAGTGTAACTCACCATGCCCTTGCTCCGTGCTTTTGGGGAGTGCAGGTCAGCAATGATGGCTGTGCAGAGGCTGACATTCCCTTTGCTGATCCCCCCGATGATCCTGGAGAGAAGAAAAACGCCAAAAGTCCGAGAGGCAGCCCAGAGTGAGTATGAGGCTATCAAACCCATCTGCAGAAGCAAGAAAGGGTTCTTTATAAAGCAATGCAAAGTTGATGTCATTTCTGCCCACTTCCCAGCCAAACATTTGCATTGTTTGTTTGTTTTCAATGGCTGCTCCAAACCCCGTGTAACAGAACTGGCTGAATAAACTGACACTGCACCATGTCTTGAACAGCAATATAAAAGAAGTGGAAACAAGTCCATACAAACTACATATAATTGGGATATTTCTGACAAAATTAGAAGAGCAAAATTCTGTGGAAGTTAAACCAGTCCTGGGTACAAAACATTTTTGTACATCCCACTCCATTTGTTTCCAAATTCAAGAGAAATCTGACTTCAAAAGAAGAAGAATGTCCACATTCATAAGAAATGCATCTTGCAGGGCTATACAGAACTTCCTAACCAACAATTCCCAGGCTCTGTGGAACAGGTCATGAAGTGCTCAGCCCTCATTGATCACTTGATGAAGTAAAATACATAGGAATTAAGCCTAACATTTGTCAACAGAGCATCTGAAGTCATTCTCCCATACACAGGAAATAGGGGTTTAGGAATATGACAGAAACAGATAAACATTTTGGTGTGTTCTTTGAACAGTTCTGGGTCTGGGAAGCTCAGTTTAAGCACTCACACTTGGAAGTGTGCCCAAGTGACTTGGCAAGAAAGAGTCAACAACCAGCAGATCTCAAAAATTCAATTTAGATCTGAACTGAGACTGTCACAATTCAGTTCCTGTGCTAAGCACAAGATCATGGTGCCTTCAGCATGTGACACTCACCAGTGTCACCAGGATGACAGGCCTTCTGCCCCAGTGGTCTGACACTGCACCGGTGAGGGGAGAGGAGAAAAACTGCAGGAGGGAAAAGATTGAGCCAATCAGACCTAAAAAAAAGATAAAAAGATATGAGTCATTAGGTTTGCTGCCTTTATCTTAAATACAAAGATAGCCAAGCTGTTTGGGATCTAGCACACTATGTGTGATAAAAACTTGAAATTAAATGTTAAACAGCTATGAAGAATAAAAAAGCTATGAAGAATAGCTTTGTTTCTCAGAACACCAATATTGCATTTACTTAACTGAGACAGCAAATGCAGACAGACCAGATGTAACAGGCATAAACTGGATTAATTCCTGGTTACTTCACTGGTGAGAAAGGGTTTGAAACTCACTGGTTATTATGGAATGATGATTCTCCAATGTTTCCCTGCTGACTACATACATTTTATGTTCTTAAAGCAGAGATAACACAGTCTTTAACAGTCACAGTTCTTTTAAAACTTTTTGATTGTTTGAACCTGATTCTGTCACACTTAATTAGTTTTTCTTTCCTTTTTATCATGGAAAGAAGGACTTAAGCACTGCTGTTAGTGAGGCACCCTAAGAGGTAGGAGTGATTCCAACAGACTCCAAGAGTCCTTTGAAATCTGCCTCCAGCTTCTGTGATCTTTAATTCCTCTTTTCTCTTGCCATTTCTAGCTTCATTGACTTATTAATTTGCACTACACTCTCAACATGCAGGCAAAAGTAGCTTTGCTGTCACAGCTTTTCTCTAAAGGAAAAACTGGGTTATATGTTTCAGATCATTCAGCTATCAAAGCTTTAAAAGGCAGGGGAGAGACAGACCAGAAGTTCTGCTCCCATCAGCTTTGAGGGAGGCAGAATATTGATACTGAACACCTTGTTGGGAAGAGCTGCTTGTGATAATTCACAGCTCAAAAAAAAAAGGGTAAAAAATCTTACAGAATTTTACATGGCCAGTTTATGACACACAGTTCCCTTCATTGTGTTTCTAGCATTGTAAAAACACCCTTCCATGCCAAATATTTCCAAGCCAGCATGCAGCAAAACCAGGGCTGTTCCACAGGGGGGAACGAGCTGAGAGAGACCACAGCACTGGCAGTGCCCTCACCAGCCTGGTGCCCCACAGTCTGATGGGCTGGGCAGAGCAGGTGCTGCCAACAGCACCCACTGACAGGCCCACACAGGGCAAGGCTTCCACACATCCTTCCAGGGATGGACCAGCAGGAGTCAGGGACAGAGAAGGGAGTGGAAACAACACTATGATGTTGGTTAGGAGACAAGACACCTCCAGTGTAAGTCTGAGGTCCATCCAAGAGATAAGGACAGAGACAGCCCCGGAGACAAAGTCTGAAATACAGCTCCTGAATCACTGGGCAGAAAGTGTGTGGGTGATGACTGGGCACAGCAACTAAATATTGGTGCCCTCAGGGCCCTGACATGGGCAGAGAAGTTTCTGCCTTGAAGAGCCTGCAGTCTAATGAAAAATGAAAAATATGGCTGGCACTGGGAGAAACAAGATGATCTGGCAAGCACCTTCCCAATCCTATGCTCCTTGGGGCAGACGAGGGCAGTGAAGGAACACAGGCTGCAGGAAGGCTCCAGCAGCCTCTGCTTAACATCACAACTGTAATGAAATTTTCCACACAGCACTCCCAGGAGTGCAGGACACGGCAGGTAAAAGGAAAAGCAACAAGTTGGACTTGACTGGGAGTTCCCACCCCTTGTCTAAACAACCTGAGATGGTGAGAAGTTGAAACTAGGAAGCTTCTGGTCAAGCCTTAGAGGAGACAGAAGGCAGCTTCTGAGGGATTAAAGAAACTGTTTCCTAGCATTCAAAACCAGTAATTTGACTAAAAAATGAGCAGAGAAAGAAAAACATGCCTGCAAGGATATGGTAGGAAAGAGGAAAATGGCTCATTCGCTCCCTAATGCCTGTTATACCAAATTAAACTACTTTAAATAGTAAGAATACATTCACACATATTCTAATTAAGTTTTGTGTTTCATTTAGTTTATTTTAAAAGCCTTTTTCTTATCTTGGGGGAGGCCTCAGCCCGCCAAAAAGAGAGAGTAGACAGGTTCTAACTAAGATTAACCCAGACACCTTCATATCTTCATACTCTGAAATCACAGATTTCTCACAACTGTCTACATGGCAGGAAGCCAGAAGAGTCTCTGATGTGTACCATGACACATTTCCCTCTCTGTTCCTGCTGGAGCTCATCCACAGCAGTGTCCTAGAGAGAGAAAATGCTTCTGGGTCCTGCAATCCAGAGGCCCTGCTGCTTTTAATAAGACTAATGGGATTTAGCAGCAGTGCTGCACTACACCTGCCCAAGGGGCAGGTGAAGCTGGAACACACAAGTTTCTGTTTGCTTCCTACTGATGGATCTCTGATCATGTGCACATCAACTGGAAAGGGAGAGGCATTTCTGGGACTGCCAGGGCCCAGCACAGCAGCTCCTGACCCTCAGCTGGCAGTGTGACAACAAGGAACAGCAGGCCTGTATTTCTGTAACAATCTGTAGAACAAATTGAGTAAGATCATAGCATAATTCAGGTTAAAAAGGAGCTCTGGAGGTCACCTACTCCAACCACCTACACATAGGGTCAGCTGTGAGGTCAGAGCAGATTGTTCAGGGCCTTACCCAACCGGGGTTTGACAATCTCTGAGGATGGACACTGCTCTGGGCAGCCTGCTCTACTGACCATCCTCACTGGAAAAATGTTCTCCCATATTTCCCATCTGAACCTCCCCTGCTTCTACTTACACCTGTAGCCTCTCCTTCTCCCACACACCTCAGTGAAGATCCCAGCTCTCCATAACTCCCCACAGGTGCTGCAAAGCTGCCATTCACTGCAGACCAGCCAAGGGCCCCAGACTCTCCACTGGACTCACCACAGTGTATGGACACTCCTCCCTGTACTGGGGACCGAAACTGAATGCAGCAATTCAGATACGGTCTATCCAGTCTTGACTAGAGCAAGATGATCACTTCCCTTAACCCACTGATTCTGTTCACACATCCCAGGAGCTCTGGGCACCTTTGCTGCCAGGGCTAGCTCATGCTCAGCTTGCTGCTCACCAGGATCCCCAGGACCACCAGTGAGTGTCCAGTGTGCTGGACTACTCTTTCCCACAGGCAGGACCTAAAACCTGTCCCTACTGAATTTCACAAGGTTCCTGTTATCCCATTCCTCCTGCCTGTCTAGGTGTCTCCAAACAACAGAGATGGGGCTGTCCAACTCTTCATTGCTATCAGTGTGTTGTAAACAAAATCATTTATAGTCTAAGAGACACTTTCTGAGTTACTTAAACCTAGAACTAATAACAGGCAAGCATGTTTGTTGTATTTGTTGTCATTCTTCACATCAACATTGCAAATAACTTGGAAAGAACAGTGTTTTTTGGCCGTCAGCTTGTCTGTTCAGTTTCCCTACCTCCAAACAAGACACTGTTGTATTTCCTCTCTGGAGGTATCCCAGCCATCACTGCAAACCAGTCTACCCCACGTTGCAATGACAAATAGAATCCATCCTGAAAAACAGAAAACAGGGAAACAGAAGCAGGAAGAAGTTTATTTTCAAAGACTGCATCAAAAATGAGACACAATGTGGACTAGAGACAATGTTAGATGATTCCTTCCCTCCTCCTCCTCACGAGGGAAAATTTGCTCACTGATCAAAAATAGCTTAAATGGTGAATGTTAACAGACAGCAGATAGGATATGCTTGGGTGGGGGAATGTATGAATTTGAACTTTTTCAAGCCTTCAGGCCCATTACCTGCTAAATCCTGAATTAAACAGGCATGGCCTGAAACTTTCAATTAAAATGGCAACATGAGACACATTCTGTCCTGCTGTACATGTTTAGCCTGGGAGAACCAGAAGCTTGCAGATGCAGAAGGAAAAGGTGATGCAAAAAATGAATTATTCCCAAAAAGAGGAGGAGGACTTGAAAAGAAGAGGGTCTGAAAAAGAAGGTGGAGACCTTGGCTATTGGAAATACACTGGAAGACCCTGGGGAAGACCCTGGAGACCAGAGCCCATGGTTTGGGTTAGAGATGTGGTTGTAAGGACAAAGGCTACAGCTGCAGCTGGAGTGGGGTTAGAAAGGGGCTGAGAGACAGAGGTGTGGGCTGCAAAAACAATTCTCCCACAACAACATGTTCATCTTGACCAGTAATGCCATTAACACCTGAGCAGGGTAACAATGAGCACCTGCACAGCCAGGATCCAACAGGAGCTTCTGCTCTGTTCCTGGAGCAGCAGCCAGCTCCCTGCTAGGAATGGAAGCTGAGATGGAACTCCACACTGGGGGAGGCCAAGTGACTTTGTGAAATACTCAGCTGGGGTAAAAGCTCTCATCTCTTTGGTTCTTCAGTAAACCCCAGCCTGCAGATCCATTATGAACTGCCTCACCAGTGACATCAGTGTAAGACACAAATGCATTGGTAACCACAAGGACTAGTCCCTAAGAAATACCTGAATTTTTATCAAAACAAATCTCCCAATTTAATGAAAAAATAAGGGTGAAGAGTCTTATGCAGGTTGACTAATAAATTCAGTTAATGAACCATTTATATGTGCCAGGTAATTATTAATCTTCCTGCAGCTGCTTGGTTTGCCCCAAGGCAGGTGATTTTTCTTCCATTCCTCCCTCAAGAGCCTAACACTTTTTGTGGGCTGACTTTCTTTACTTACCTCAGTCTGGCTGTAATAATCAAGGATGGAAGGAAAGAGTGGCAAGATGAGGGCAAATCCCAACAGGTCGATGAAGAGGGCCAGGAAGACAATTGTAATAACACGATTATGGTTCTGTTCCTGCCTGTCATTGCTGGAGCTGCTGCTGCTGCTTCCTCTCTCTCCCAGGGCCATGTTCCCAGTGCTCTGCTCCTAAAAAAATTGCATTATATCCAGTCAACAGGAAGCTTTTTGCAGGTCTTTCATAAGAGTATCTTGCTGATTCATTCCTACTTTTACAGACTTCACAAAAATAAGTTCTGGCTATATTAAGCTACCTGGGAACAAGGGAACAAGAGCCACAACCTTCCAGTCTTGGTTCTTAGCTCAGCACCAAGTTTTCTCCCATCAGGAACAGGCTACAAAGTCAATAAAACAACAAACTCTATTATAGGAGCACCTCAAACAGAACAGAACTAAGGAGCATTTGAAGTTTGTCAACATGTGAGCAACACTAACATGACTTCCCTACATCTCTACAGCATTACAGTAAAATAGGTATGAAAGGGCACTCTATTCCAAATATTTACATTCAAGTAAGAGTTTATTTATGCCTTCAGTGTATATTAGAAATGACCAAAACAATTAAAAAAAAAAAAGGCAGACTTCCTAAGTATTGCAGGAATGCAGTACTTCAAGATAAACCCCACAGAGCAACAGATAAACCCCACAAGAAACAACAGAAGAAAATTTTTAAACTTCATCTTTTATTTCTTTCTCCAGATGATACCTACTGACCTGGGGCATCAAATGATTAAGGCAACATTTTTATTTTGTCAGAAATACCAGAATTATCAACTCTCTTTGATAATACTCCAAAACTATCTTAAAGCCCTAAACAAGGATGCAGATCATATATAGTTCAGTCTTTAACAAATAAAAAAGTTGGTCTCAATCCCAAAAATTAACTCATTTGCAACATAAATCAAAATCAAGGAGTAATATATAAACCATGGAACTGCAAACTTCAGAATTATAAAACATACATGATATGTCAGTCATAAAAGAATCAAATTTACAGTCCCCTCCTCTGCAAAAGTCCCTGAAAGTTTGTTGGACTAAGAATAAAAAAGGAGACAGAATTTCATCCAAAGCTAATTAATACAAAAACATTCATTGACTTTGATGAGTCACCACTGAAAACAGTGAGCAATCCTTAATATATATTCCAGACCAGATATACCATAATATATACACAAGGCACTTGCACATAGAAAACGATCCTACGCTAATTGAAGGCTATAAAACTTTGTCATGCTCAGCAATAAATATTATTGTGACATTTCTTGACCTATGAAGTCAGTTTAGTGGCACTGAAGCATTATTAAAGCTCAATTGCCAGGAGGTAAATAAACATGGAATGGGGGCCACCTGCAATCCATTTACTAAACTCTTGGCATAGTGCTCTTAACCAAACTGGTCTGATTTAGCAGATTTATGTTCAAGATCCTTTTATTAAAATGGCAAATCATCACCGCTACAAATACTCAGCATTATTTGCTTACCCAAATGATAAAAGAGCACGTGGAGCCAAAATAACCATTCCTTTAAGAAATACTCTCTGGGCCTAGGTCCATCCAGCCAACAGCTGAGGGACGGGGTCACTGAGGCAGACCGTATCTTGTTTTTCCTTACAATTTGTTTAGTCATCCACTGAATTGTATGACCAAGCTAAACTTTATTCCAGGGTTATTTACAAAGGTAACATCCCTCACACCTTTCCCTCAGGAACATTTCTGCCACCGTGCAGCTCCAGCCCATCGATGCTTGAGCTGACCTTTCACTCTGCTCCAGTTTTGGCTGCGTGGTTGCAATTTCCCTTACGCAATATCCCAAGGTACTGCACGTTTTTGCCTTTGTGCTCCGCTGGTTTGGTTGTTCAAACCTCTCCATAATTTTTTGCTAGGCAGGAAAGCACACAACATTTTACAGGCCCTTGGCATCCTGACAGCAAAAACAGAGCACTTCACCTCCACGGCGGCATCTGCCTTGTGTGAGGCGCGCTGGGAGAGGGAGGGCTCTGCCTTTGGGGAGGTTGTTCCTGAGCACACGTGAATCCCCCACAGCCGCTGGCTCTGCCCGGCTCCCCCCAGCCCTTCCTTCCCTCGGCATTCCCCGTGTCCCATCGCTTCTGTCCCGTCCTCCGTCCGCAGGGCCGGGGCTTGGTGCCGTGGCTCCCAGGACGGGCTCAGCACCAAAGCCGGCCCTGTCCGAACTGAGATTTGTTATCTGCCAGCAGGCAGAATTTCATCCTTTGGGGGTTTTCTTACCTCACCTTATCGCCTTGTGAAATTTCCGGGGCCTGGCTTTACCTGCTGAGCCCCGGGAGGGCTCCTCAGCCTCCCTCACGCAGCCCCGGCTCAGGTCAGGGCAGGCGCTCGGCCGGGCACGGAGACAAGCCGCAGTTCCCCAGGGCAGGGCAGGGCAGGGCAGGGAAGGGGCGGCCCGGCAGAGATGAGGCGGAGGACGCGGGGTCCCTCCCGCCGGGGAGCCGCGCCCGGCCCGGCCCGGCCCTGCCCCGCCGCCCGTCCGCCCCGGGCACCTACCGCTGCTCCGGGCTGTGCGGGCGGCCCCCGCCCGCCAAAACCCTCCTCGGGGATGCTGCGGGCGGCGGCTCCTCCCCGGCCCTCCGCGGCGCCCCGGCCGCCTTCCTGTTCCGGCGGGGATGGAGCCGCTCTCGGCGCCGCCGAGGACGGACCCGGCCCGCCCGAGCGGCTCCGCGGAGCGCGGCGGGGCTTGAGCAGCCAGCGCAGCGCCGCGGTACGAAATGAACGGCCACCCTCGCACCGCAGCCCTGCCTTCGCCCTTAAACACAGGTCCTGAAACACTCGTTCCAAGGGGAGCGGCGTTCCTTTTATTGCTACAGCAGCAATAAATACAGTTAGCTGCGGCGTTGATAAGGGCTATCTGACAAAGAGAAGAAGGTAGTTGCAAAAGATGTAACTCTCTGTTCCCAAACCAAACTTCTCCCTCAGCACTAAGTTTTTTAGCCCGGAGAACATGAATAGCTGTGGTACTGTAAGCGCCACCGAGCACTCTTCCCTTATCCAGACGTGTCTGGTGTCCAACTTGCTAATTAAAATGGGAGGATGTGGTTACAAGTGGACTTACGCAGATCCATCACCATAGTCTTAAACAGGTAAGAATCTGCCAGCAAAATGTAGAAAGCAAATTTAATACAGGTATTAAAAAGACTTCTGATTCCCTCGAAGGCAATGTAGTTATCAGCACTGGGACACAGACCTCCTGCTCAGTGACATCTCATGGATTGCCAGCTGATTAGACCTGGAGGAGCTTATGTAAGCATAACATCAGGATTAACATGCCAGTTAAATCAAATAGTTATCTAACTGGCTAACTCAAATAGTCAACTGCTAATCTCATGTATACCTCAGAATTTTATGTATTTGGTCCATTCCAAGGCAAAATTCTCTTTTGAGGTGCTCTGGACTGAGTATGAATAATCCTTTAATATCTGAAATAAATAAATAAATAAATATGTATTCTTCATGTTGCTTATCACTGTGTATAACTGATGGGGTACCATCTGAATTGAGATATATTTTAAAAACCCTATTGAGACACCAAATAAAACAGCTCTTCCTGCTATTAAATCTACCGGCCTAAAGCTTTTGCAGATCACTGAGCCCAGCTGTGTTACTGCAGTCAACCATGTCATACAATCCTGCATGTAAATACATCACACTGTTTCTATTCCTAGATAGGTCATTACTCACTTCTTTCCAGTCTAAAGTCTTGCACATCTGACAGGTAACAACTTAAATTTGGTTCCTAGAATACATTTATTAACATTGGCCTTTTTCTTATATCAGTCTTGTTTTTTTTATTGAATTTACGCCTCATTTACTCTTTTACTTCCCTGCTCTATTGCCAAAAAGCAGTGTTAGCCCTAATGTCAATATTTTGAAGTATTTAATGCCATACAGCATCTTCATCATTTTTTAGACTCAGTGTTCAGACTGCATGAAAGATTTTAGTTTTCTACTCCAGACCTAATTTACTGAAGAAGAAAAAACCCAAACCCAACCTTCCCCCAAACCAAACCCTTATAAAACCCAGTCTTTTAACTAAGACTGCATAGCCTATATATTTAGGACTGAAATATATACCTGTTTAGCTTAGGAGACACACCTGGAAGACCACAAGGAGCACATTCACAGAATGCTTTTGACCCCCTGAATATGTAACACCTCCCAGTCTCAGAGTGATGACAAGCTGCCAAATGTTTTGTCAGAGCTTCTGTTTGACTATTGCAAATGCCCAGAAGGCCCATGAAGAGGAAAGAAGTCCCACAATTCCTGTAGCTGACACCAACCTCAGCCCAGCAGCCAAAGTGCCCCTGTCAAGCTGAGGAGCAGCCTCAGTGCCTCGCTCAGCAGAAATCTGGTGGTCAGAGGGGAAGCCTTACACAGAGCAGGGACACACCATGGTAGATTATTGTGACTTCTGCAAGGCACAACTGAGAATATCAAACTGCTTACCAGCTTCCAGCTGACAACCAAAAGACCAAACTCCTGAGGAAGCTTTTCATGCAGTCATAAAAAAGGTAATTTATGCAGTTTCTGGCTGAACAGTTTTGTTCTCACTCTATTCTTTACAACATTCATATTCAAGGTAGCTATTGTCTGGGACAGCTGATGTTGATAGATAAGCTACCTAAAACTAAAGGCAAAATGGTAATTTTCCTTTTTTATGTGTGATGACTTGATTCTACTTACAGAACAGTTTCTTTTTTTGGCTAATTAAATACAGATTTACAATTGATAATCGATGTGTCAAAAGGCCTGTTATGACAATGCTGGGTTAAAAGAAACAAAGAGACAAGACAGTGCTTGCTAAGTGTGATGGTGTTCAAGAAGCTCCACGAGAAAGGATCTGCCAGCACTCAAACATGTTCAAGTCCTTGGTAGTCCAAATGACCAGAACCTTCTATCACATCAGAGCAGCAACACTGCTGTGGTACTGAGCAATGGCAAAACTGTCAGACCAGACTGACTGTTAAGCTGAGGCAGGATTACGTAGTCTTGCTTTCCCACTGACAGAAAATACCGTGTGTTAAGCATCACAGTTAGTCCCAGGTTTGCAATATTAAATCTGACTTTAAAAATTGACAGTATAATTTGTAAAGGTGCATACAGTGATTCTCATTCAACAAGATTTCAAACAGAATTACTTTCAGTCTGGCATTCAAAAACAGTTAAGGAAGTCTATCAGCTGAGGTTTCCTCATCCTTCATTTTTATTTATTAGCATCACAAGACAATCCTGATCATCCTCTTGTCCCAGAACATGTCCTGTCCCATCATTGTGTCTCTACCCTCTTTCTTCCCTTACTGAGGAATAAAAAGCAGCTGCAAGTGGTATCAAAAATCAGGATCACAGTGCCTCTGTCAGCTCCTCTGTGATTCTAATACCCTGCTGGACAAATCCTCTGAAGCTACTGCTAAAGTCAGATAAATAAATAGTAGTACTTTTTAACAGTTTATTTGTGCTGTATAGACTGTGACTAAAACTCCAAGCTGAAGGAACCAATTAATAGCATAAAACAGGAAATTAGCTCCTTCAGTACTTCACTCTCGAGTCCTTGACATAAAAATATTTTGTTTAAAAAAAAAAATTCCTACTGTGCCAAATGGAAATAAAACAGAAGGTATACTAATCTTCTGAGATTCCTTTGAGGTTTCAGAAGATAACTTTTCCAAAACCAGCAAAGCTAACTGAAAATGAATTTTTTAAGTGTGAGTGAATTTCAAGCGTAGGAATCTTACCAATTTTTTGCATGAGACAAGTATCTTCCCCACAAGTACTTAGCATCTTGCCTATTTTAACACTTAATAGAAGTGCTTTTGCAAACCAAAAAAAAGCTGATTATAATCACATATTACTTGCATTACTAGTTACACTGACAGTTTAAAAAAGCCTTCTCCTTCAATGAAGTGCTTTTCTCTTTTAAGGAACAAGACTTGCCTAACAAAGATAGTTTTATCATTAGACACTAAATGTAAAGGCTGTGTTTCAACTCAGCACTTCCTAGTTTTAGTCCTGCTTCCATTACAAGTTTAATTTGAAAAAAACCCTCAAACCAACCGACCAACCACAACAAAAAAACCCCAGCTAAAAAACCCCACATCCCAAAAAAATGCCCCAAAAACATCAAACCAAAAGCCCCAGAGAACAGAACAAAGAAACATTCAAAGCCAGTCCAAAACAACCAAGCCTAACTATTAAATCAAATTAACTGACAGCATGTAAGTTTTTCTTCATGAACAGTAGGTAGAGCATTACAATGTCCCAGGTACCCATTGGCCAAAACACAGATCAGATCTAGGAACAGCATTTGAAAATGGAGGGAACTTTGGGGGTTTGTTTTTGTACAGAACCATGGCCCTTAGTTCATTCTTAATACAGGTCTTATTTTATAGCTTGTCTTTCAGATTGAAATTGAAATGTTAATATAAAAGGGAATTTCATTTTTTTAACAGTTTCCCATGGAAACATTACAAATTTGTTTGATGCATAACAACTATTACTGAATTTACCAAATATTAAGTGACTACCTGACCAGTGAACCTAGTTCAGATTAGCACCCATCAGTAACTATGATGCTTTTTGTCCCACTGCAATGGTTCTTTGCAAATACAGTATAAAAAGAAGTGTTAGAAGTATTCACTGGGTCTCTTTGAAGAGCAGATGTTTTTCAGTCATGCTGGGCAGCTATCAGTGATTAGACATACATGATAAATTAAGTGGAAGAAAGTTAAGGATCACTGTTCTCTTACATCAGACAGTTCTGAATACAATGAGGAATTCTAATTAATCACCCTAGATTATTAAGAACTTCAGAGCTGTGCTCAATTCAAAACTTACCAAAAAGATGAATGTATGTACAGCTTTAACAAAGGACTTTTACTTAAGAGTTGATGCCATTACTCAATACACAATTTAGTATGTCCTGGTACAGACTAATTAAAATGTTGCTGCTTAAATTATATTATCATTATGAGAGCTGCCTGCAACTATTCAACATCAAAAAAAGATCATAGAATGTCCTACCAGGACCATCCCCAAGAGTCATATCATGTGCCTAAGAATTTCTTGAACTCTGTCAGGCTTGGTGCTGCAACCATTTCCTAGGGGAGATGTTTCAGATGAACCTTTTCCTATTATTCAAACTACCCCTGACAAAACTTCAGGCCATTCCCTGAGTCCTGTCACTGTCAACACAGAGAAAAGTGTCAGAAGTGCCTGCCCCTCCCTTCCCCTCACAAGGAAAGTGTAACTGCAGTGGGGTCTCTCCTTGTTCTCTTTTCCAGGCTGAACAGACCAAGTGCCCTCAGCCACTCCTCACATGGACTT